GGAAGGAGAAGGAGAAGGAGGAGGAGGAGGAGGGGGGGGGGATATGGGGAAGGGGAAGGACAAGGAAAAGGCAACTAATTATGACAGTGTATTGCCAAATGCACACCCATCCTTGGCTCACCATCTCTGCTGTAGATGCAACGGATGCAACAGAACATTCCCTTTTTAAAGAAAAATAAGGGACATTTCCAAGGACAAAGGGGCTGTCTAGGATTCCTTTCCTCAAACAGGGTCATGCCCAATGTTTTGCACTAGGACTCCATCCTTTCGGGCTTTAGGATAGCTGGGCTGAGACCACCAGGAGTCGGAAGGTTCAAACTCTCTCGGAGAACCCTGGTTGGGGAAGGAGATCTTGGAGTGGGGAGAACTTGGCATTGTGTAGTCCCTCCCAGTCCTGCCCAATTTGATCACTTACTTTGCGCCTTCATGCGACGGCTCCCGACCATACGGAGGTGTTTCCGGAAATTTCTGAAAGAAGAAAAACATGGACGGCAATCAGTCCTGAGGGCAAAGAGGAGGAAAGCTGTTTCTCCAGGGTGGTCTGGCAACCTCACTGCAGACAAAAAGAGTTCAGAAAAGGCCCAGTGCAGGAAACCTTCACCACCACTTCCAAACCCCAGTCAGATGCCTCCTGAACTACCACAGAAAACCAAAGCGGAAAATGTTCATGAGAACGTTCATGCTGATGAATTGGAGCCAAGACGCATAACACAGCTTCAATGCACCTTGAAGGAATTTGGAGCAAGAATGTAGAGAGACGCGGAAAACACAAATTTTGGCTAGGACAGCAGTAATGCACAAGGTAGGTCAGCGCAAGGAACATACTCAGGTTTGGGTGGCGTACAGAGGGCGGCACTGATCTGGAGGAAGCAGAGCCTGCTTCTGGAATTTGAAGGCACCCATCTTGCTCTTTATAACTTCCAACCCTCTCGCCGAAAGGCCCCCATTTTTGATTCCACCTTTCCAGTGGGACAAAACAAGCTGGTGGGTCACAGCACGCTAGCGTTAGGACATTTCTATCAGGTGCCACTAGGGGGCGCCGGTTCTCCATCCCTGGTTGGAATCTTTGGTTCAGGAAAGATTTTGCTCTGATTGAGTCAAGCTTTTGCTCTCAATCTTTCATGGGGAGGGCGGGGGTTGTACAAGTTTTGAGATGAAGATAATTATGGATGCTTTCCACCAGGGTGGGTTGGTAGCTAGATGTTTTTCAACTTCCCAGGCTAGGGCTGAGAGAGAAGGTCCAAAGTCACCTACGCCTAAAGGAGGACTAGAACCTGGTTCTTCCCACTCCCAGTCCAGCATCTTAACCACTACCCCATACGGTCTGTTGGGCTGAGAGGGAGGACTAGCCCAAAGTCCCCCAATGGAGCTTCTGAGGATGGACTAGAACTTCAGTCTCCACACACTTGGTCCAGCACCTTCACCACTGGACCACAATGGTGCTCCCTCTCTCTATATATATTAAACTGTCTTTCAAGAAGAAGAATTAAAGATTAAACGCTGACATCTCAGAGGCCAGAATTTCTATCAGGGATACAAAACAGAGGAGAATAAATTCTCCCCAAGTAAATCATGATGCTGTCTCTCAGCACTTCACAACTGAAGGTCAATTATCATTGATTGAGGAGATCAGGCATTTCCAAAGTCTTCCACAGAGTTAGGATGAAATAAACTCTTTTATCCCTATTTAAATGAGACTATTTGCTTCTGACAGCAGATTACAGGATATGCCAGAGCCATCAAAGCTGGGTGAGTTTTTAATTTTTGTTTTTTTCACAAAGGAGCCTCTGGATTTTTCTGCCTCAGGCCTCACAGTCCCTTCACTCTGAACATCAGGACCGCAAGCCACAGAAATGAGCGTTTGTTATTAAAACAAAATACAAGATAACTAAACACAAAGGAAATTGGTATCACCAAGCGCGTTTGCCCAGATTTCTGCCTGCAAATGGTTTAGAGGAGGGGCTCTGAAATTTTGCAATGCAATCCCCTAAAATAATAAATTAATGGGGTTAAACCTTGTGTGAGATGGGTGGCTATATAAATATGATTGATTGATTGATTGATTGATAAATAAACAAAACCATCCACTTCTTGCATAAAACTCATTGTTTCATTTGGGTTAGAATTGGGTAAGAAATAAATAAACCCCTTGCTAAAAGATACGCCACTTTCATCCAGCTTTTTGACTTAATTTTTCCAGTATTCCTGATACACTGGTCATCTTTCAGTTTTTCTCTTCCCACCCAACAAAATCGTTTCTGTCTGACAAATCTAAAACAGCAAATAAAAATATTGAATTTCCCTAATATACATACTTCGACAGACATCCCAAAGGCTGTGAATACACGATTGTGCACCGCGCTTCAAATCACAGCCAGCTGGAAACACAGGTTCGGCCATCTCTCAAAACCTGCTCCAGACGTTGCTTCCGGCGCTGTTTGCGTGAGGCCGATCGGCTTTTTAAAGCGTTGGGACCCACAATTTGAAAACCCCTAAACTTCCAACCACGGAGTAAGCGTTCTTTCAGGCAAAATGCATTTCCAATTTCCTTACGGCAACTTGATACTTGAATGCACGACAGCTTGTCGACGAGGTGTTACGATTTGTTTTAGGAGCAGGGAAAGATCGACCAAACTCAGAGAGCCGTTCAAAACAGCCGAGTGAACGAAAAACATTTAACAGCCTAAAGTGCCCAAATAGCCATCGGTGCTGCATAATTTGCACTAAGCTCCACAATCTGGAAAGAGCGGCGTTTCGGCTCCCGGCTAAAACCTGACGGAGAAATTGAAGAGGGATAAACAAGAAGGGGACAACGGTTGGTGTTTTAATTCACCTGACGCACGTTTGCTGAAAGCAAATGATCAGATTTTAACAGACTATTTTCCGAGGACTTATCTTCCCATCCTTAAAGATGAGAGGTAGGTGAAAAACTGTGACAATCCAAGGATGAAAAACGAACGTCGACCTCAGAAAGGACACCAGGTGGACGGACGCAAGAAAGTGAGATCCGTTCTGGCCCCAGACAACCTCCCGCAGCACCAAACACCCAATTAATCTGATTAGGGCCAGCTCCTTCAACGGCCGATCTTAGATCAGGATTAAACTTGTGTCGTAACTGAAAGAGACAGATTGTGGCAGAGGACCGTGGTTCCCCTCTCTGGATCCACCCTACGGAGATCAAGGCGACACAATTCTCTTGCAAATCTCCCCTCTCCACACTGCCGGGCCCCTTTGTTGCCTCATTTTGCAAGCACAGAGTCGTTCTGAAATATCGTCCCAGGACCTGATATCTGGGGATACTCTGAGTTTTTATGGGGTGATTTGGGGGCTTTACACTTGCATCCATTAGGTCATTATTTTGCCCATGAACCTTTCCATCAAACACAAAATAGGCTTCAGTGGGTGATTTCCCCCCACTGGAATCTGCAGGAAGAGCTTGTCTCCTCTTTTAAAACATGACTCGAAAGGACAAGTCCAAGACTGAAAAAAAAAATGAAATGCTGCTGGCTTTGCTTCCAATCAGATTATGGTCTTTTGTGGAGAGGTTTGGATTGCCTAAGAATCCTGCCCTCTTGTGGACTAGCAGCATGAGAGGCTTTTTGAGTTCTTTAAAGAAGAAAAGGAAAACCAGTCAGTGCTATGATAAGCTTCTCCGCCAGCCTCAAGCAACAGCCTCTTCGTTTACTGAAGCAAAAGCCAAGGGGTTAAAGCAAATAACCCTCCCACCCCACCCCCCACTCAATGGATTATTGTGATGCTCAGAGCTTACTGGTGCAAAGCTTCTTTACAGAACAGGAGAAGGAAGCCTGGGGTTAGTATTTTCCCCCAGCTGTTGTTCCTCCCAAACATGCAGGTTGGATTCTGAGCCGGGAGTAAGCAGAGGCGGAGGAGACAAGATGGGGAAGCTAAGGTAGCACTGCAGTGCAAGTTCTTGCCAAGGGAGGAAGCAGAGACTGCCAAACCATCTGAGAATTGATAAGTCCCCTGCTCAACCACTCACATAATCTTTGCTCTTGCCAA